ATCACCCCAGCCGTCAGATTCCCGCTGGTTCTCGGAGGCCCGTGGCTGCACAGACACGATCCCTACATACTATGGGATGAAGGGAAGGTGAAATTCATCTCTCCCAGGTGCTGAGAACACCGCTGGAACCCGACTTGGGGCTAGCAGCCGATAGCGGAAACCCCTAGAGTGTGCTTGGCTCAGGACGAACTCTTGTCTATTCCCTCCGAGTATCGAGACCTGGCCAGGGTGTTTGAGGAGAAGTGGATGAGCTCCCCCCTCATAGACACTCAGACTGTATCATAGAACTCTTGCCTGGCCAAAAACTACCCAAGGGGCACATCTATTCAATGGGCCCGGCAGAAAAAGATGAACTGCGCAAATTCATAGACAAGAACCTAGCCCGGGGTTTCATCAGACCAGCATCATCCCCGTTTGCAGCTCCAGTCTTGTTTAGGAAGAAGAAGAAGGATGGGGAGTTGAGATTATGCACGAATTACAGAGGTTTGAATGCAGTGTCTTCAACCAATGCATACCCCATGCCCTTGATCAAAGACCTACTAGCGGAAGTGGCAAAAGGAAAAATCTTTTCTAAATTGGGTCTTCAGGATGCGTACTTTCGAGTGCGCATCAAGGAGGGGGATGAGTATAAGACTGCTTTCAACACCCCCCTCGGACAATTTGAGTACCGAGTGATACCTTTTGGTCTTCAAGGGGCCCCAGGGGTCTTCATGAACTTGATCAATGAGGTGTTGCACAAGCACTTGTTCAAGGGGGCCCTTGTTTACCTAGATGATATCTTGCTGTACTCCCCAGACCTCCCCTCCCACGTTAAATTGGTGAGGGAGGTGCTGGCCACGTTGCACAAGCACAAAGTGTTTGCAAAACTGTCTAAATGCGAGCTTCACAAGACACACATTGACTTTTTGGGGTATCAAATCTCTGACTGGGGTCTAGAGATGGATCCGGGCAAGGTGCAGGATGTGCTGGGGTGGGGAGTACCCCGCACCCGATGCCAGCTCCAATCCTTCCTCGGATTTGCAAACTTTTATCGAACCTTTTTGGCCAATTTTGCCCAAGTCAGCTTACCCCTGACGGACTTATTAAAAACTAAGGGAAAGGGCCCGGAGGCTATGAAGCCGGGCTCGGCGTTGCCATGGAGTAAGGAGTGTCAGGAGGCTTTCGAACGCCTCAAAGCGTTGTTCACTTCGGAGCCAGTCCTTGCCCACCCCGATGAAACGAAAAAGTTCATTGTGCAAACTGATGCGTCGGATGTGGCCATGGGGGGGGCAAGAGGGAGGGGATGGGCTGCTTCATCCATTGGCATACGTGTCGCGGAACTGACACCGAATGGAACTGGTCTGTTTGGGAGAAGGAGGCGGGGGCTATAAAACTCACCCTATCCACCTGGAGACACTGGTTGGAGGGGTCCCGTGTCCCGATCAAGGTGTGGACTGATCATAAGAACTTAGAAACACTCAACACGCCTCGATGTCTTAATGCTAAGCAGCTTCGCTGGGCAGATTTCTTTTCCAAATTCCAGTTCACCCTCCATCGGTTCAGCAAACTCCCTGGCCAACACCCTGTCCCGCCTACCCCAACATGATAGCCAACGGGAAGTTGTGTTGGACTCCGTGTTCACGCCTTCACATTTGGGCGGAGCGGTGACGAAACGCAGGCAAGCTCGCTGCGATCCTCCGCCCACGGTGACGCCAACCCCCCCCTCCCAAGCCAGAAGGGGCGGGGAAGGAAACTTGACACAGTAAGTTCCCCTCGGCTTTCTCGGAGGGCGACAAGGCCATGCTCGAAGCGGAGGGTGATTTCGAGCTACGAACAGATGGCTGTTGGTATAGAGGACATAAACTATATGTTCCCCTTTCACTCCGGGGGGAGGTGTTACAAGCGGTGCACAGCTCCAAACTGTCAGGGCACCCGGGCTTTGTGAAATCTCTTCAGTTATTGCAACGTCAGTTTTGGTGGTCGCTGATGCACAAGGATTTATCCTCATTTATCAAGTCATGTCAGCTCTGTGCCATGAGTAAACCTCGACCAGGAAACCCCTTGGGCTGTTGCACCCACTACCTACTCCAAACCGACCCTGGGAGATTATCTCCATGGATTTTATTACAGATCTCCCGCCGAGTAAAACAATGACTGTTATATGGGTGGTTGTGGATTTGTTTTCCAAGCAAGCGCATTTTATCCCCTTTAGCCAACGGCTAAGGCATTGGTAAAGGCATTTCTCAGAGACGTGGTGCGTTTACACATGCTCCCCACTAAGTTGGTTTCCGACGGGGGTCAGAGATTTGTCATAGTGATTACTTGTTTAAAGTAGCCAGTTGGGAAACAGGTCCTTTTAAAAATATGGCAACCCAATCTTTTGGGTGCCTCAAAAGGGTATTTTGGGCAAAAAAAAGTCATATTTTGTCAGTATAGGCAGCCATAAAGACCTCTAAAACATCTTATTTTTTGTGACTAGAGCAAGAAAGGGCTTGGGCACATCCCCACACTTGCTGTGAATCTCATAGGTTGACTTTGGGTCAGTCACTCTGCCTCCATTTTACCCATTTCACTGCTCACATTATATGGTGAATGCGATTTTGGGCTGTATCAACAGAAGTATAGTATCCAGATCACGCGAAGTGATAGTATCGCTTTACTCTGCTCTGGTCAGACCTCACCTAGAGTATTGTGTTCAGTATTGGGCACCACAATTGAAGAAGGAGACAAGCTGGAACACGTCCAGAGGAGAGCAGTGAAGATGGTGAGGAAAGGTTGAAGGAGCTGGGTATGTTTAGCCTGGAGAGGAGACGACTAAGAGGTGGTATGAGACCACCTTCAAGTACTTGAAGGGCTGTCATACAGAGGATGGTGTGGAGTTGTTTTCTGTTGCCCCAGAACCAACGGGTTGAAATTAAACCAGAAGAGTTTTTGGCTAAACATTAGGAGGAACTTCTTGACAGTTAGAGCGGTTCCTCAGTGGAACAGGCTTCCTCGGGAGGTGGTGAGCTCTCCTGCTTTGGAGCTTTTCAAACAGAGGCTAGGTGGCCATCTGACAGCAATGCGGATTCTGTGAACTTAGGCAGATCATGAGAGGGAGGGCAGGGAGGGTTGCACCAGGGCTTAGCTCTCGTGGCCCTTTCTGACACGCCCAGGGAAATGCTGATCATCACGGTGGGGTCAGGAAGCCATTTTTCTCCAGGTCAGTTTGGCCCCCAGTGATCCTGGTTTTTGTTTTTTTTTTTTTTTGTGGTCATCTTCTGGGCGTGGAACAGCAGTCACTGCAGGTGTGAAGGGGGAGGTATTTTTGAATTTTCTGCATTGTGCAGGGGGTTGGACTAGATGGCCCTGGAGGTCCCTTCCAACTCTATAATTCTATGATTCTGTGATATGCTAAATTTTTATTTGAGGGGAATTACTGAACAACAACAAATGCTCCCCACCATACGACAACACTAGCATGTCGGGGGAGGGTTGGGGGGGAAGGTTAGCCTGGAGCTCTGTTCCCTGTGTAAGGTAAAGGTTCCTTTGCTCAAAAGCCAGTCGAGTCCGACTCTAGGATTGCGGTGCTCATCTCCATTTCCAAGCCAAAGAGCCAGCGCTGTCCGAAGACATTTCCGTGGTCATGTGGCCGGCATGACTAAACAACAAGGTGCATGGAACGCCCACCAAAGTGGTACCTATTTATCTACTTGCAATTTCTTGCTGGAACTAGAGATGGGAGCTCACTCCATCATGCGGCACCCGGGTCTCGGGCTGCTGAACTACTGACCTTCCACAGCCTGCAGTTCAGCGTCTTAACCACTTGAGCCACCGCAGCTCCGTTCCCTGTGTAGGACAAGGGAAAAATGAATGTGATTTCTGACATGTTTGTATATTTAATTATAATAGATCCAGATCTTGATATGTAACCTAGAATCTCCTGATTAGAGAAGCTTATAGTAGCATATATGTCATAACTGCACCTTTTGTATATAAAGCATTATTAGAGGCCTCTGGGGATAGAATTAGGATGCATGTATTTGAGAAATTGCAAGGAGGTCAAGAGCGAAGCTGAATGTGAATCATACCTCTTATCACGCAGCTCCCCAGAAAGACTAGCTTCACTAAGGTCAGAACGGTTCTCAGCGTTCCCGTTGCTCTGAAGAGCAGATAAGCAAATGGAAATGTAATCACTGACAATACATGAGAGACCAATGGTAAGGTTTAAAGTCAAATGATGCTTAACTGCTTGGTACCCACCAGAGATTCTTTAATGTATAAACTATATGTGATGTTGTCTGGGGCATAAGACCTTCTGCCCTTCATGGTTATGGCAGAATACAGTTTTGGAATGGCTGAGGTGCCAAAGGCATTCAGCCCCCTGTATTCCCGGTTTTCAATGCATCAAACAGATATTCATCTAACTGGTTGGACTCCGACTGTGTGTTTCCAATTCGGGAGCACACAGGGCAGATTTGTGTATCACCTGTGAGGCTACCTTTCTACGTGCAAGGAATGCCACTGCTCTGGCATAGAAATGCGTCACCTGTGAGGCTACCTTTCTACGTGCAAGGAATGCCACTGCTCTGGCATAGAAATCATTTCCCGCACACAGAAACGAGCGAGACATTCGAGCCTTCCTCTCCACGGGCACCTTCTGCGGGGCACCCGGCTACGGATTTCCCCGTCCTCGGCCGACAGAGGGCAGCAAACCTCCCGCCGCCGCCTCCCTCCTTCGCCAGCTGCCTGGCAACG